TCTGTTGTCACACAAACTCGAAAAATTCCAGGCGAAAACGAACAAACTGGCTTCCTACTTCTGAAAAGCATTAGAAATATGGAACACCCATTAGAATAATTAAAAATTCTTATGTATAAGGGAGAAGTTATGCATAATTTTTATCCGTATACCATAAACTTCATTACCTACTCATATCATTAGCGTATGTAACATACTGTCCACTAATGTTTCTGTTATCTAAACCCTACTTTCTCAACCTAACCATTTAATTTTTCGTATGGTTTTTATGCATCATAGATTTGATTAAATTTCACATTTCTAGACCGCTTGCTGAGTATTCATGAAACTGATTGGTAGGATTCTCCTACTTGTTACTTAAAACAACACTGACGAATACAAATGAAAGTACACAACAATGTAAAAACGTTTTTCAAAGAAGACGATGTTGATGCATCTTCTTTATGTTAATGATTTGTGATCTCAGTTAAAACATCTAATCACCAACTATAGGAATTAGTTACAACACATGCAGATTCCATATCAGGTAGGTTTATTCGATGCAACTCATTGTAATATATTATTAAAAAAAGGATCACAGTTTGAGTACAATTTACTGTTCATAATTATACCAGTACATTCATACAGCTTCCCAACTAGCTTCATATAGTTCTACTCTATCACTTTTTTAGTGCAGTTTTCTCCAAGCCCGTAACGTGTGTCACGTCATTTCTACTGTGCGTGTTGAGTTGACTCCATGAATAGTAATTTCATCATTCCAACTCTATATCTTCTTCTGTCTACCTAACTAGGCAACCTTCTAATACTTTTATCCGGTCATATTTCATTGTGATTATGCGCAGGTGTGCACACATCATTAACTGAACTTTTTCTAGACTACTTAATCTCATGGAGTCTAAAACCCCGAATCTACTTAAATTCATCTGTAGTAATAATCTAACTGATTTATTTATTTATATTTACATTATTTATCATTCCCTTCAGTTCCGAGTGGAACAAAAACACATCTCTACTTTGTCCCATCTTCTGCCATCCTCCTCAACTTGAACCACAATTGCCCACAATCTCTTCCTCACACGACTTCCTCCATGTCACCCTGGCACCAGGGACCCACTCGTCGCTTCCCATTTGGATTTCACTCGAGCAGTAGCCTGCATTGCGCGCGATGTCATTCGACGGCCTCCTCAATGTGCGCCCGACCAATTCATCTCCATTTTCTCCTACATATTTGTTGAGCAATCGCCTCTCAGTTGGTTTGTTCCCACAGTTCCTTGTTACTTATCCTTTCTGGCCATTTGATCTTGAGTATGGAGCGAAGGCAGCTGTTGATGAAAGTTTGCAACCTGTCGGAAATCCTTTTCGCGGCATGCAGTGCAAGTTTCTGACCCGTTTAGAAGGACCAATTTACATTGCTGTCGGAAATCCGAATCTTGTTCTTCTTGCTGGCTTAGTGTAGAAGATTTCAAAACTGGTTTCAGGTTGATGAAGGTGTATCTTACCTTTCCGATTCTTGCCTGCTTTTACATCTTCATCCGTTCCGCCGTCTGTGGTTGAAACCGTGCTTCCCAGATAAGTGGAGGGAGTAGCCTCTGTTAAACCTCCCCGTTGATGGTGCTTGGTGCTGGTTGTTGTTGCTCTAGGATTTCTTCTTTTGCTGGAGGAGTGGTGTTCACTGGCAGACAGTTCTGTGCGTGCTGTTGGTGGTATTTCTGGGCGAGTTGTCGCTACTGGTCTGTTCAAGGGTCCTTTAAAGTGACAAGCCCGCTGTTTGATTTGTTTCTCCTCCTTAGTAATCAGGTTCCCTTGAGCATCTTTTATTGATTTCATCATCTGGGTTGATCTCTCCCGTGATAGTGACCTGGTCCTCTGATATAATGTCCTGAGGTCTCTTTTACCTACAAACTGCGTGTTCTGCTTCAATGGTCAGTCAGCATGTCGTAGAATGGTCTTTTGCCTTTCTAAGCACTCCTCTTCACGTCTCTCTTGATTCAGTGCAGTGTACATTGCTGTGAACTCAGCCTTTCCTTCTGTTGCCCATCTTTGCATTGAGTCATCTTCTCCTTCACCATCCTCCTCTCCTCTCGTCTCCTCGATTAGCTTCCAGGTATCTGCTGAGAGCCATTCTTTGTCGTGTTTCTTCTTTTTCCTAAGAACATTTGCACACGTTTCTTAGGACATCACCTTCAGAGAGTTTCAATGTTCTTCTAGGCAGATTTCCTCGGTGATAACACGTGGTATCTCCAATTTTTCTCTGATCTGATCTGTAGTGAAGCCATCCCTTGTTGCTTTGTGTATATTCTTGTGCTTGTATACGCTGCTACCGATCACCAGGTCACTGAAAGTACAGAAGTCTGCGAATAGTTCTCCGTTCTCATTCATTTCTCCGAGCAATAGCGTGTCAACCCATGATGAGTTCTCTTCCTGTATTATCTGCTCCCAGTTTGTCTTGTATTCATACCGCCCATTAGGACTTTGATGTCACCATTTGGAACGTTGTCCATTACTGTTCGTAGCTGTTTGTACAACTCTCCCCTCTTGTCTTGTTCCGCGTTGTTTGTAGCACTGTGAGTAGCATTGCATGATAATTGTGACCTTCCTTCCTTCTCTTGAGTTGAATCTTGCTGTCATAATCCTGCAGGATGAAATTGGTCCCCACAACATTAGAACTTTGACATCATGATAGCCACTTCCTCAGTGTATTCTTGGTTGTTGTCTGGGTGGCCGGAGTATGCTGCTGACTCTCCAGCTGACAATTTGGATAATCCACATCCGTTCCATCTGCTCTCGCAGATACCCAGCACTTCTATGCTATGTCTTCACATTTCGTTGGCTACTTGGGCGGCCTTTCCAGTCTCGTACATTGTACAGACATTCCAGTTACCCATTCTTATTCTTGCTTTCATCGAGAGAAGACACATCTGATGGCTGACTGGCCTCTAGAAGGCTTTCACAAGCCCGGGTCATTTCGCCTCTCCAATTCTAGTGAAGAATGCGATCGTTCTTTGAATTTTTTGTATATTCAATATATGTTTTTTGTGTGTTGAAGTTTCTCTAGCGGTTTGATAGGTTAAGTGATGTGGGGTTGCTAGCCCTACGCTCAACCCTCCGTCTTTTCCCGGACTTGGAACTGGCAAGCTAGTTAACTAGGCGAGGTTCGATTACTTAGTGGAGAAGGTTTATTTGGCCGTATTTAATTTGAATTGCAACACTAAGTTTCGTATGGGAGAAAGAAACGAATTTATATTATATTCCTCAACGGGAAGTAGTATGCAGAGTATTCGTCGATCACCAAAGAAATCGAGATCGGGTTACAATTCCGGTCCATTGTGTTTTATGACTAGCCCCTGTATTAAGACTGTGAAGAACATCACTATGTTTCTCAATCAGATGGGTTATAAAAACAAATTAAAAATTGGGATGATTCATGACGGTTTCTGTGCAGTCCCCAATGCCAAAAGAATGTTTTAATGGCAGATCCGCTTCTCTCGACGGTAAGGGCCTACATAATTCCGGAGATTTTTCGTGCTCAGTGGTATTTTTACACTCAATAAACTGTATTTTTGATTTCACAGACCGTTTTAAGCCAGGTGAATTTATCCTGGATTCAGTGCAGCAAAACTTAAGTTCATCTACGGTAGAGTTTGATCTCGGATTGTTCAATAAATAAACCAGAAGATATTGCAGTTAGTAGAAGGGGGTACATAATTCTGTCTTCATTGGTAGTAGTGATAAATGGTTATTATAATTTGCCTGTGAAATTTTCGCGGTGGCAGTCAAGTAGGAAAAAGCCTTTTTTGACCACTACAGAATATAACTAATATTGTATACCTGTAAATCTGATCTATTTTACAATTCCAGTTTACAACTGATTAATCTAAGAATAGAACTTGGGCACTGTGGTAGGATGTAATCCCATCATAGAGTAGATTTACTTGACAAATAATACTGTATCACCTTGGTTAACTTTAAACAGACCGTCCAATAGTTACTAAATAATTGTCAATCAGCGGCTGTTTATTTAGAAATATTCATCCTACTCTTTCCAAATCAAAATCAACTTCAGTATTCTTTAACCTATAGCGGGTCTCCAAAATGTATTCACTAAAATCTCAGTGATCTTTTCGTCTCAGACATTCAGTTAGTTTCATAATTGCAGCATATTATTATATTTCCTCGGGTGGAACATAAGATTTCAGCAGCACAGATGTGGGTGACTAGCCTCGTTCCTATTGGAATTATAGCCAGAAGATATAGACTAAGACCTCACTTCAGTCTGGACAACACAACTCTTATATATTAAATAGGATTAATAGGTTAATATCTAAAAAAGTATGCAATAGGTAACTGGATTGTGTTGTTATTTTGGCTTCAGTCCAGTGGTAAAAAGTGAAAAACATCATGATTCATATGAAGACAGCTGTAATCTTGTAAACCACTTTAAATGAGCCTTTACAGCTTTCATGAGCCGTTAAGGAAAGGATGAGTATAGCTAAAGAACTTAGTAAATTAAAGGATAAAATGGGTTGGCGCAAACAAACCACACGACAAAAGAACAAGCTTGCAACATGTTTAGAACATTTGTAGATTATTGTTTTCATAATTGTTATAGCTGTTGTTATGGTTTGTATGATAGAATTTTTCTCTTGTACTTTAGAAAACAAATACATGTAACCTTTTAACATCGTTCAGTTATCAACTAGTCTTTGTGTGCTTTTGTATGCTAGTCTTCCTTTTTCTGTTTCTTTACAAAGCCTATTGTGTACTTTGTTGAATATTAGTGTATGGAAAAAGGAAAAGCCCACTGAAGAAAAAAGCAATAATAATAATAATAGGTTCTGTAATCTAAGTATACATTTCTGCTTAATTATTTATTGTGAAGAAGAGGGCATTTAATTTAATAATGTATTTTGTGGTTTTCTTCTGTTATCCATTGTCATGGCAACTTGAGAAGGTATATAAGTCTCTGTAGGTAGGAAAGATATTCCTTACATGTTTCAAGAACTTACATGAACATGATTCTTTCTGGATGGATTTATAGGTGGATATCGTTTAGTTGTGTGGTTGTAAGTTATAATGAGTATTTCATCCTATTTTCGTAATAACAAACGCTTGATTTGTACTTAATTTTCATATCTGAAATGACAAATAATTGTAATTATGTTGTTCTAAATATGTGACTCCATTATGTACACAGTGTATTTACACTATCGAAAAGTGGCTACACTGTCCCAAGTTAATTTGAAAACTTTTAGAGAATTGAAAAGCGAAATAATTTAGATACAAGAGTCAATTATTAGGCAGTTTACTGGACTACTAGATCACAGAACTTTATAAAATTATTTAAAATAATTCCAGCATGTTTAGAAAATCAAAACAAAATATTCTGGACATTTTGCTGTAAAAGCCAAGGTTTCTTCAGCAGAATTACTCAGATTTTATTAAACGTCATTTATATAGTCAAATAGTACGTAAATTAAAGTGAATTATGAAGGTCACTTGTGGGTAAATCTAATGATTCGGTCTGACTTGGCTCTTAGATTATTCCAGGACATTCTCCTCATTTATGATCTGGTTATTTATAAACCTAGTAATGAACTTTAGTAAATTTATTGATGTATCCAAGTAACCGAGGTTCACACATTTTAGGTTTTCTGTTTTTTTATTTCATGAAGTGAAATTCACTTTGCTCGGTGAGAAGGGAAATATTCTTTCTATAAGGGATTATTTAAGATTAATTGATTATAGCTAGCAGTGAAACTCAGGCCACACGTTTTTGTTCTAGATTCCAACGCTAGTCATTATCTACTAAACAGCATCATATCAACCTTTAGACATCATCGAAACAACTATACTAGCAGCCGACATACCTCTAGAGTTAGGAGCATTTTGATTAAATGAAGATCAGCCAGTGGGAAATGCGAAAAAACAAATATGACTATTTAAAATATGTGGTCTTTTAAGTTGGATTAAATAACTATCGTACTAAAAGTGCTGATGGGTTTCACTTTTCTTCACTATCATTCATAACGTATGATCAGTAAGAATTCAGAATAATAAAACTAAATATTCAGCCCCTCTACAGACTAAATCGCTTTGTAAAACGGTTATTTTGAGCTATGGATGAGCAAGCTACACCAGAACACAATGTGTAACAGTCACTGAGCCCAGATTTCTTCTTTTGTGACGGTTGTTAGTACTCAAAGAAAGCATTCCACTCTTCAATAATTTTAAAATTCGAATCTGAAATTGAACAGTACACCAGACTTTCTATTGGTTGTGATGCATTTTTGTGTTTTGAAATACTCTCAGAAATACTAAAAATTTTTAAATCAGTAGCAGTACCTGGAAAAATACAGCTCATTTCAACTAGAGAAATTCAGCCTTGTGGACAGATAGTATGTATGATGGCAGTAATAGAGTATGAGAGTGTCACTTGTTGAATTTCAGCGTTTTGTATGAAGGATATTTAAAAGAATAGATTATCTGTATTGTTCAATGAAACATTCCATTCGCACTGCAAGGTAAAATAAAACTAAGCAGTACTAAATGTCGATTTCTCTTGATAATACGAACTTCTATCAATCTTATCTTTTCAATGAAACAAGTTTTATTTATAATGAGTTAAATATACATTCCTATTCCATTTTTAATATCCTTGCAGATTATTTTAATCTCTCATGGTGTGTTTGAAACTGGTAAGAGATTATGCCATATTGACCTAACTATTTTTTGAGTAGAATGTGCTATTTCACCACCTGTTTATTATATGGAGACAGGAGAAGAAAGATATTTCAACTTTTCTCCGGGATTTTATGATTCTAACGCGGTGAGCTTATATTTTGTTATGAATTTTGTTCACATAAGTGTGAGTGGGAGCAGGATACGCACAAGATAACAGAAACATAACAATCTTTATATTTAGGTGTTCTAAGGCCTTGTATTCCTTTACAAATAAATACTGCCGATTAACTGAGTAGTTGTATTCCGCTTACATCAACCAGACGCTGTTTTACTCCTTTGGGGGCAAGCTTATCATTGGCGGTACCGGCTTAACTCAGCAGAGACAGTCATATCATTTCAAACTAACAGATTTCTGGATGGCAATTCCAAACTAATTCGGAAACTGCTAACTTGTATTCCTTTAATTTAACATTTTCATAAAAAAGCTGCTTAACGGTTTGTTTTGCTAAGCATATCTTCACCAACAAATAGAAACACGAGTTCTAAAATATTTGCCTTACCACTATAAACTATTAGTAATCAACTCGTAGTAAAAACAGATTTGGGTGACTATTCAGTGAGTGTAAAACTAGCAAGCTTTCCCTCACACCTCCCTTAACAGTCTCTTCATACAAAGGAATAGTCATTTAATGGCAAGTACACTTAAGCCCCTTGTAACATGAAATATGAAGTTGACACACTTTCAATTATTAAGATCATTTTAAAAGACTATCAAAGTAAATATTAAGAAGAAACTGTACATAAACACTCACAAAAGTAATTAGATAGGAAAAAAGTTGTTGTTAAACAGTTTTAGTGTTTGGATACAGCTCTGAAAAACTGCCTTTTGTTTGTTCTAAGGTAGAAATTATTTTTAGAAGGAGGAAAAACCTAAGTTGTGTGGCTTTTAAATCTATTCATTATTTTAACAATCAAAGATTTTCAAACGAAAATCCACTTAAATGAAGCATAACTATTTATTGAGACATGTACTTGTCTATAGTGCTGTATATTAATTATCCTTCCTCTCAATGTTAAAGGTACTCCCTACTATTACAGTACCAATGATTTATAGGGGAGAGTTACGAATAAGTGTGGGCTTAAGCGATTTGGTTTATACACCCTAGATAATGAGAATTACTGTTATATCAGCCAAACTGTCTGCCAGCTGACTTTGAACAGTGACTAGTATTTCACTTCAATTACAAAAAAAATATCTCACTTGAAAAATTTATCTCATTCTTTGCACATCAGCTTAGGAATTTCTTTTTCTGTAACTGGTATTATTCCTGTCACTAAAGCTTATCGAATACATATTTCTTCTCATGGATTTTAAGTTTTTCATTGGAAAACAGAAAACCTTTCATTCTTTGTTTATAATTAACCATTTACATGGACTATAAAGCACTGTGTGTCAGTCAAAAAGGTGACTGAAGTATGCGGTTAAAATAATAACATTTACGTAGAAATTCTGTTCAGAAACCAAACCATTCTTGAGAGAGAGAGAGAGGGAGTTGAGATTCAGTAAATATCTTCATGACGACGTGCTCTTCAAAGCGTCATTCTTGGTGGAATTTAGTTTTTGAAATATTTGTTACCCAACTCCTCGTCATCTTTAAATTACTTTTAGGACAGTAATATCTTATATATTGATATGTATTATAGATTTCTCCACAATAATTTGTGGTAATATGTAATATCAATAAGTAGTGTGCATTGTATTAAAACTATTGATTGAATGGTTATTTTGTTCCAGTTTTGAACTAGTCTTCAGTGTTTGCGTGTGCCTGAGACTTCAATACCTCAAGTCTCATAAATAAGCTATTTAATATTTAGCTACTGATATGGACTCAAATTTGACATGTTTCTCGAATTCTACTGGCTGGTGACATACACAGTGGTCAACAGCTGATTATTCTTAAACTCGAATGCTTTGACTCTAGTAGTGCTAAATTTCTACCAGAAATACGCAAGCCCAAATGAATGATATAATACATGATTTTCTTTTTTATTAGCAATTAAATAACCTCAGTCATTTTGCTAAGTAAAGGTACATTCAAACAACTTTGTAATTACTATTTCCATGTTTTGTCTCTTTCATTTTCTTTGTTTTCGGTCCTTTTCTCTTGGCAGATCGCCACAGACCCTTCAGACTGCATAAGCAGCTGCGCTTATTACACTTACACGCAATCCGCTGTCGTAAGTGGAACCTACTGCTTTTGTGGGAATATTTTGCCACCAGATACACAGTTGTACGACATGAATTGTATGGACGTAGAGAGAGTAGATGTTTACAATGTATCGCAAGATGCTTTTATAGGTCCATTTGAAGTAAGTCCTGCAGTTATGAAGTCTACTTTTGTGTAAACTAAACAACTATTTTACATAGGGTTATGGGTGCACGTACAAGAAGACTTGTATTAGGATACATTTCGGACCAACTGCCCTGGTTCATAATATATTTCTGATTCAGATCGCCTTTCAGCTTCACTCATCATATATACACAATATAAAAATTTGGGCACTAAGGCAGAGTATGATTTCACCATAGTGTACATTTGTTTGAAGAAATTGTGCAGTGATAAACAGCAGTGACAGTGACTTTGTCAAATAAATTTACTCCATGATGGAGTAGGATAACAATTTGATAGTAAGACTAAGAATTATTTTTTATTGTTAAAACCAATTCACTTCACTGTCATACCAGTGTATTAAGTTGACCTTAGGAATGAATCCTAGATCATAGGCTATAAGAGCCATTCTTCCATCAGAATTTTATAAAGACGGAATATAAATCTTGGGTTAAAATATTGTTGACTATATTGGTCAGTGAATTTTAGATTTTTTAAAAAATCTAGTGAGGTGCATTAGAACAATTATATGCTTCAGAGGAGAACAACTCGTAACCACAGCGCTTAAAGCACTATCGTATTTTATTTTGTTAAATTTATTTGAGTAATCTGATCAAAAAGAGGCCAGAAATTAAGCAGCCGTAGACTGAGTATCAAATTTTTGATCACATTTCGAATAAATCCATGGGCATGAATCACTAAGATGTCAGAAACAGATTAATACCAAGTCTAACCTAGTTTTTGGTAGTCTGTGAAACCTATATAAAACAGTAACGAAGACGGCTTTGAGAATTTTACAAGGTTTCTCCATTTCTCAAGTTAAAAATGAACTATAAAATATCCCTATTGGCTGAATAAAACTAAGTTTTGACTTGAACTGCTAATGGCATGGTTTCACAGTAAACTATACATACAATAATTTTTAGTTAACAGAGAATCTGTTTAGAAATCAATTTACGAGCAGAAACCTAATAAATAAGTGAAAATTACAAAATTAAGAGGAAAAGAAAGATGCACCCCTGAACCTCGTCTAGTTTACTAACTCATAATAGTCCCAGAGAAGATTGGTTCTAGTCACCTTGCTTTGTAAAGACAACACCACCTCTATTGGAATTCCAAGGCTTAAAACCCTATTTTTACTCGGAACGCAAGGAATGAAAAGAAAACGGATAGGGTAAGAAATATTTTGGTATAAGCGGTGCCACTCTGTCAATAATGAACCATTGCAATTACAATTAGGTATTAAATCATAGAGCATAGGCAAACATAAACAGAGGAACATAGAGTGCTGAGGGAAGTTCATTTACTCACATTGACATGTAGTATGTACTTTTGGTTGATATGCGTAGCTGAACACCACTCACGTCAAGTAGCAGTGCTTCATAGTCAAACCAAATTGGAGTCAACACCAGGTGGCTGTTTCTCTCGTTTGGGAACGAGCTCATCAACGGTGTACCCGGATTAGTTCAACTAAAAAGATCTAAATCAGTTAAAACCACCCGAGTTCTGGCTAGCTTCATAGATCTTATAAAAGAAGCAGAAAGAAACTCGGCATTGATGGAAAATTCATATGAAAAAACTAACAAATGAAGACCAATAGAACTTTCAGAATATTAAAAGTGATAATGACAGCTGCACTAGTGACTGATATCACTAACTTAAAATCACTGGAGTGGTTTGAATGATTTGACAGTTTCAACTTATGATATCTGGATAAACAATTAGTGAAAAATTACTGTTCGATCTAACCAACGGGTGTTATTGTTTATTAGGAGTGGTTTCAGACAACTCATATTAGTAAGTAGTAAACACTGAACTGCCTTATTACTAGCCGCCCTAAAGGACTTGAATAGTTTTAACTTCTAAAGCAAATCATAGCTCGATATTGTATCTAAATAATTCCAGTGTGAATTGCTAGTGGGTTGATATGTATTTTTACTAAAATACTAGACTTGAAGCTATGTTTTACCACTGATTTTCGATACTTTAAAGGCACATATATATGGCAATGGTTACGGGAACGAATTAGCCGAACATTTTAACTAATTGAATGCTATAATGCAATAATTTGAACATCATATGACTGATTCAGTAGTCTGAGGCTACAACCTTCATAGATGTGCACCAACGTAAGCTTATACTGATTTTAAAATGACTGATCAGTGAAACCTCAATGTTTACTTTTTCCAAATAAGGCTGAAAGTAGTCAAGAATGTTTATTTCCATACAACCAACTTAAATTACATATATTTATTCCCCTTAATGAATTACCCAACTTAAATTACTTGACTTCTTTGACTCTTCACCGACATCGAATGTAAAAAGGTAGTTAACGTCTTCGTTTCAAGGTGCCATCCTTTTGTTATCAGTAAACATTAATCTTCACCTTAATAACCGCCAATCCTTTTACTCATAGATTACAATACAAAATCAGACGGTGAATCAGGCTGGGAACAAAATTACACTGAATTTTGTGATACCGACGGAATTTCTAAATTTACCCGGACCAAAAATTTATGAATTCTACTATGGAGACACAGTCCAAATACTAGAGAATATATCAGATATTAACGCACCATTAGAAGTGGTCTATCATTCACCAGGAGCGGTATGGCCAACACTGAAGGCACGAAATCAAGATTCAACTGTTGTAAGTGTAAACACATTACCCTTGATTATTAAAATTTTAGTTTATTTTCCACATTTATCAGTCCGTAATTTTGTATACTTAACTTCATTTTTTAATTAATGACAGTACTATTGTTGACGGAAGTTATGTAGTACAAGTGAAACACTTTATTTCTTCTTCTGGATTCGGTGCTGTCTTTTACCATTTAGGTAAAAGGCTATTCTGAATTTTAATATTTGTATTCGGGTAAAGTCAGTTATCACATAATGTACGTATTATTTACTTCCAAGGAAAAGAAATACTACAGAAGTGGAATAACACTACCGCTTATTATATTATTATTGCTCCCATGCGTTACTTATGGAACAGGTCTTTCGTTTATGCACATATATCGAATAAAATTTTAGTGTGTGGCTACGCAGAGTTTAAAATCCTAAGTACGTGTGTACCAAAGAAGTGAACAAGGTACTTGTCAGGAGGAAGATCTAGCTATAAAAGCCAGTCTCATAAACGTTAACTTCTTTCTTTTAGGGTAGTTTTCATGATGCCTTTTTATTGGTCACAGGACCACCGAATATTACAGAAAATACTGGACATCTAACGATTCTCAGAAGTTTGTATTTATGTCCATTTTTGTCTAGATTCAACTCCTATCAGATTAAAAAATCGTACAACCAGATGGTAGTGGCATCGCTTCCAGCCTAAGTGATTAATCACGCTTTTATAACTTAGGAATGTCAAATTCAAGGTAAGTCACTAACAAGAACTAGATGGTGCCTAAGCGGATTAGGATTACAGGAAACCAATATAGTTCAGCACGTAAATAATTATGTGGTGGTGTGATACAGGCAGTGTGTTCTAACGGAATATTATTCCCACATATTCCTACGGTTCAAAAGAGCATTAGCAACAGAATACTATGTATTTCAACATTTTATTTCATGTCGTTTAATGTAAGCCAAAATTACACGCTCAATGATTGGTTAGAGAAGATAAAACTGTATCCACATGGATAGCGGTTTAATCGCTTGAAAATGTACCTTGGCTTCCGTGTCTTGTTTTTTGTTGTTACAACACCACTTTTCAACCAACCATTTGCTTCGCATACTGTCCGATTGAATAACCGTATTGTATCAATCGACCACGAAAAGCAGAATATATATATATATGTATACATATACATATATATGAATTACCTAGCTTAGTTTTATTCATAGCATCAGCATACGTTACGAAAAATTCTGCAGTAGTGCTTTCCGACGTACCATGAGATGAATGCCTTATTCTAATTTACAAAAACGTAAAACAGGTACCCAAAAAGGTATATTGAGGATTCTGGATAATCAGTTTAGTCTGTGGTGGTTTTTATGAAGGATGCGAGATGAATAACAGAATAACTATAGTGATTGTTTTGCTTTCTCTAACCTTTGGTATTTGATCTTAAATGTTTCATCATCAGCTTAGGTGTCCCTACCAACACCACTTCTTTGATATGCTAAATAAAGTCTACTTACTAGAATATTCTTCTTTCATTAAATCTTTCAAATTTTAGACTGGCTCAGCGAGTTTGGAACTTATGATTTATGAGGTAGTAACTCCAGAGAATCTTATGTTGTCGTGTCCTGCAATGGTTCTTAGAGGACAGTTTTTCATATGTCAGCTGACTGTCAGTAAAGGAAGTCATTTACAAGGTACCGTAAAATTCACCGATGAATGGCAAGATTCATTCGCTTTACCAGGTAAAACAATTCGATATAGAAATTTGTCCAAATATTTACCTTGCATGTTGCGATATTTAAAAGACAAGCTATAACTCAAGCTTAAAAAATGTTTCCCAACCAAAACTATTTTAAACGAAAACATTTTTAGGCAAACTTTTATGAGATCCTCGGTATTAACACGTCATAGAATGATCCATTACCTCTTAGACGGTAAATATTTTCACCAAACAGGCAAAACAGAAAATGACACAGCTAAGGGGAGATATTTCAAGCTAGTTTACATTTTGTCTTGACTGATAACACAGTCTCAAATGGAATTCCTTCTCATTTTGAACATTGCATGCGTGTTCAAGTATCCAAGCTTTGTATACCACATTAACTATTAATCTATGGCCTAATCAGCCCAAAGAATACAAATACACCAGAAATCATCCACCTGTGCTACAAATGTTCCCCATCATATCTACTGACTTATGTTAGTCATCGTATGTTCAGTGGATACTAAATATCGTCACAGTTTGACTGAATCGCTCACTACTTACAGTTCCAAATTAGTCAGAGATTTATTACCAGCATTCACCCCAAAATACATTCTCTTAAGCCGTTTGGTGGATATTTTCAACTTCATTAAGTCATCGACTGGGTCGAATTGAATAAATACTTGTAACTTTTTTCTGACAATAACAAGAACAAGAATTATTTTTTTCTAACAATTAAGATAGGAATTTCATACATTTAATCCCCTTAATGAATTTGAACAAAGCAAGAACTACAGTTTTAGCAGAATAAAATGGTACCATCTTTTATTTCGTTGCCTTCTCGTCAGCTGCTTATATGGTAAAGACATTATTAAATATATCTACAACAACAATTTTAACATACTTGCACAGAGTTCAGTTTAAACAAAAATCAATCGATCAATATACTCATACACTAAAAATATATACATATATAAATATGCAATATTAACCACTATTCCGAACAATAATAATCAAACACAATGAAAACATTCGGAGGAAAGAGAGGTGAAATTATCCAGTTACCAGGGCAAAGAAAGACTGATAACCGCTTCTTTCTGGACGCATAAATCAGGTTTCAGGCGCTTGATGGAAATGGCTTCAGCAAACTTAAGGAGAATTGAGCTATTTTACTTATTGATAATTTTGAATGACTGTTCGACGTCCACCTCATGACCCGTGTCGAGGAGATGCCTGGCGATGGCACTGTTTATAGCATTTGTTCCCTTTAGACGTAAGCTTTTCGGTACATGTTCAGAAAATCGTAGATATGCCCTTCTGCTTTCTGTGCTTCCAATATAACTGCTCCCGCAGATACATGTAAATTTGTATACACAGTTGGAGGTAACATGAGAAGGATATCTGTCGATTTTTGATTGCACCAAAGAGCAAGTTGTTCGATAGATGGGAACGAGCTTAGCTGCAGGATACGCTATGGCTAGTGATGTACTCAGACACTTTCTCGTAAAATAATAAGGATGCTGCCGTCCATTTTTTTAAAAGTGACATCAGATAGACACAGAAAGAATCAAAATACGAATGCATTCTTATAGACAAGATCAAATGTTGATGATTTCTTCAGCAAATTATCTGTCTAGAAGAATAATTACCATTTATTTCAAAAAAGAAACTTGATTTTTTTTAGAAGAAGAGATGGACTGTTGCAGCCAGACCATCTTAAAAGCAGTTTTACTTATTATCTTGAATACACTAATGGCTCCTGGAGCCGAACAGTATTGGGCAAATGATTTATCCATTTTTGGAGCTCTTCATTCAAATTATTCTCACTTTAACATAATGATGTTTAAAGAAAGCAAATAAACATTTTTTCAATAGGCTCATGTTTTGAATTCTTGCTTGCATTCTAATTCTCCTTATCTGAAACTCAGTCCAGGAAAAACAAGTTGCTACAGTTACTGTGTTGTTGGGGTGAATGACCTATTTACCGAATAAAATTGTTTCCACTGGTTATGGATTTTGGCCATTGTTGTTACTGCTATTATTGCCCAGTCAGTCCACTCAAATGAGTATATTCATAGGAAATTCTACTGTTTTTACAAAACAGAACAGCTGCATTATTATATTAAAAAAAAATATTTCCCACATATTTTGTCAACATATATAAAATGCAAATAACAATATCCATGTTATAGGTAATGATGTCATGAACAACAAAACTAAAGCCACTAGTTTTCGCAATGCTTAAAAGCTTTCTTTGTGATAACATCTGAGTGCTCATCTTTTGTAATGTGATTAAATTTTGGTTTTCTCCATCTAAAATGATCGAGATGAAATTTCCGTTTATGGAGAACTCTCAGGGTTGAATATCAAAACTGGTATGCTTGACGCAAGTTCTTATGGGTTATTCACCATTCTCTGATGCTTGTCTTCAACTAATCTGGAGAACAACTATTCTGTATTTATTAATATCGTTATTTAATATAACTTTATAAAGTTAACTCAAGCTTGGTGGATAGTTTTAACGACCAGTAGATATTAACCGAAGGGACACAGAAAGTCAAACGGCATGTAATGACTGAATCGCTTTGTTCCTGGACCTTTCATTGCATTATAGTCTAAATGTAATATGAAACTATCAAGATATGCAAGCCTAAAAAAATAAGCCCTTTATAACAAGTCGATTCAGAAAAGTTTTACAAATAACCAGAATTAGAGATGGAGATTATCATAAGGTTAAGATAAGAATAAAGTCAGATATCTGACATTTAAAGAACTTGATTACAACTCTTCATCAGTTCACTCTTTCTTTCTTAAATATGTGTATACACGAAAGTTCTTTTTTAAACCTGTCATTGAGATGCTCGCATAATAATGAATCGAATGTTAATATATGTGTAAAACTTGGGCACCGTGGTAGTAATTCCATATTAGTTTGTTTATTAGATGTATCACATAGTGAAACACTATTATTTACTGGATGACGTCGTGAACAAAATTTGTTGTTCATAATCATATCATATCAATTGTAATCACACGACTTCGAAACTTGAGTTTTATACTTTTCTTTGTCTCCTCCTATTTATCGTAGCGGTAGTAGAATTTTCCAGATATCTGGGACAGGTGTTGAATCATTTCTGTTACATGTATTTGCAGTTGACTCGATAAACAAAGCTTCTGTTATCGATCTCTCCCTATACCCCATGACATTAGATTTTAAAACTGTCAACCATCCCATCCTATTGTATTATAATTATTATTGGTCCCTTGGGTTTCTAGTGGAACATAGGGCTTCATCTGCACGTCTCCACTTGCTTCTATCTTC